CAGTCTGCAGGCTGACCTGATTCTACACAATAGTTTTGTTGCGTTTGAGAAGGAATAGAAACTTGAAATCTGTTTTCTTTCCTTTTTTTTCCTTGCTTGCTTGTGTTGCTGAGATAATGGGCAGGATGGTAGTATTTCTACAGCCAAACAAACATTTTCTTGGCAAAGAGAAAGTGAGTAAAACCTCAAAGTTGTGTCTGTACTTGATGAGACTCGGCGACACACTTTGGCTGCTGCTAACGAAGAGATAAATGCAGAGGATAAAAGGTGAGCAGCATGTAGTCGTTTTGTGTACCCACATCAACAGCCCTATGTGTGTGTGTGTGTGTGTGTGTGCGCGCTGAGCTAATTACCAGAGGTGATTTAACAAAACCTTTTGCTGTTCTGCCTGGCCAGTCTAGATATGTCTCAAGAGTGCTAATGCTGGGGTGGCTAGGTGGTGGGTGTGTGTGTGTGTGTGGGGGGGGGGCTTGAAAGCTGCAAAACAAAGGCATCTGCTGGAGAAATACATCCTCTGAAGCAGATAACAGAAAAAAAGATGCTGCCTTTAGCGAGGAAGAAATGGTTGCATGTGCAGAGAAATTAAAAGGATAAATAATTGAATTTTTCCATTTTAAATTAGTTTTATCTGCAGGACAAAAAAGTCTAATTAAATGTTGAAGATGGAAAATGTATTTTAGCTATACTGCTTTGTTTTTCTGGAAAAAAATATAAACCGTAGAAGTGCCTGTCTAACAGCCTGAAGTTAAATATGAGGTTGCATTTACATTTAATATGTCACTGATTGAACACTGTTGGTAGAGAAAGAGACAAGGTCTGCTGAAACTGAAATGATCCCACTGACATCTCATATCAGCCTGACAAGTCTCCTCCAGTACCAGATATTATTTGCAGTGCACTTCCTTCTGCTTTTTTTAATATGAGCTGCTGGTGATGGTAAATGAGATGGACTCATGTAAACAAGTGAGAACCTAAGATTGCAGTGAAAATGGGACGTGGCAGACGAGTCTTCAAACAGTCCTGAGGTTTGAAATGAAAAAAAAAAAAAAAAAAACCTGTCAGTTTCTCTCTGTTTTTGTAAGATAGATGTGTCTAGGTGAAGCTGTGTATCTCATAGTTCACTGCTGAAAGATAAAGGTAGACAAATGTTTTTGCGTTTGTCTGTTACTAAAATATCTCATGAACTTCTGGTCCATTTCATTGAAGCTTTCAAAAAATCAAAAAGAGAAAAAATAAATGTCAGAGGAAGCTGACGAGTAGGGGATAAAAAATAAAAGCCAAGTAATTTGTTCACATTAGTCAGCGCCAGTATTTTTTTTCTTTTTGTTCGGAGCAATGCCTAGAGTTAGAATTTAGTTCCTGCGTGTTGTTGGGGCTGTGGATGCTGGTTTGACAGCATCTCCAGCAAGCGAGTCCATCCCASTAGGAGCCAATTGTCTACATCTGAACTGTTGCCCTCTGACAGTTCCTGGGGGGAGGGCATGTGTGTAAAAGTTCAACAACACTGCTGAAAATTGCTTCGAATTCTACTTGATAAACTTTTTTTTTGCCCAAGATGCATGAACACTAAAGTTTCCAGCTGCCRTATTTAAACCACTCATGTTGAACAAATGATCAGCCCATTTTTGACCAAAGGAAAAAAAATTAAACTACAAATTCTCTATTTTAGATGTGAATTTAAAGCCTCCAATGCATTTAGCATTTTTATGAAGTTTTTAGCTTCTATAAAATGTCTYGTTTTTCTCCTTGAGTTAAAATGACAAAATAATCTAGAAACAGAACAACGAAGCTTGACAAATGAATGTATGTTGTCTCTTTTGGTTGTATACAGTTTTTGTCGAGAAGGGGCGCGCAAAGCTGCTCTGTGAACAAAATGACAATTTTCATCTCGTAACTGTAGGAAAAATATGCGTTGTTCAAAATGGTATGTCTGAATAAACAGGAATCAGCTGGATTTCTTCTCAAAAACTTTAATTTTAATCTTCTGACTCCAGTCARGTTCACAGCACTCAGCAGCACAGGCCTGAGTAAGGCCTTGGGCTCATATCAAGAAAACCCAAACAAAACAGAGCAACTCTGCAACACACTGACAACTTCTTTTTACTATAATAATGAATTGAGTTTATAATGTATCTTTCTTCCTGGTTCCACCCTTGGAGGTGTTACCTTTTACATCAGAACGTAACTCGTTTTGTTTAGGCTAAACGACAGCACATAACACGCACCAACTCTTTGTCAGCTTTAACCTTACGTTACAGGCTGAAATGTTCAGAAAGTGTAAAATACAATATTGGCTCTAATATTCAATTACCGTATTTTTTGGACTAAAAGCCGCACCGGACTATTAGCGGCACCCGCCATTTAAAAAAAAAACCCCCGCCAACATTAGCATATAAGCCGCACCGGACTATAAGCCGCACCCCAACATAAAAAAACCCAGTACACCCAAAATTGTCGTCAAAAAAAGTGAATTCAACATCAAAACATAAAAAGCAAACCATTAGGAATTAAAGTTCGGAGGAATACGGTTCATTTAACTGACCTTATTTTGGTAGTTTTCTTTAACAGTTTCTGGTCCAACAAAATGTCTCGTTCATCTTCCTCAGGCGCACTGAAAACATCGAAGTCCTCCTCTTCAGTGTCGGAGTTAAACAAGCTGAGAAAAGCTGCGTCACACAGCGGTATCTGTTCAGTGTCGGAGTTAAACAAGCTGAGAAAAGCTGCGTCACACAGCGGTATCTGTTCAGTGTTGCTTTCTGTGTCGCTGTCCTCCCGGGGTAATGCTGGCTCTGAAGCTATGGTGTCCTCTTCATGTAGCAGTCCAGTCTTTCAGAACCCATTGGTGATGRTGGACTCATTCACTCTGCTCCACACTGTTAGGATCCACTGGCAGACATCAGGAAATGACGCTCTTCGCATTCGGCCAGTTTTTGTGAATGATTTATCCCCGTCAGTCATCCAAGCCTCCCATTCACCACTGAGTGCTGCTTTAAATGCACGATTCACACTGATGTCCAGGKGTTGCAAAAACTTTGTTGTACCTCCAGGAATAACAGCAGGAATTGAGTTTGTTTTCTTGATGGCTGCTTTCACAGAATTCGTGATGTGGGCCCACATACTGTCCAATATCGTGTCTGTCGAAGATCCGTCGTGTCGTGTCTGCTACTAGCTGAAACAAAATGGCGCTACACCTAGGCCTGTCACGATAACAAATTTTCCTGGGCGATTAATTGTCTCAAAATTTATTGCGATAAACGATAATATTGCCTGGTGACCGTTTTACAACTAATAATTATAAAAGC